CCTCCCTTCTTTCTCCTTTTTTTCCCCCCCATTATCCTTAAATTCTCCCTTTGGCTTTCCTTGCCCTGCTGCTCCAGGAATCAGACCTAAATCCGGGACACGGAGGATTCTCCATCACACGGGAACAGGTCCCGCCAACGCCTCTTTCATCACCCAGAGGGATTTGCATGGTGATGAGACAACCAGGTAACTTTTGTTTTCTAATCCCTGCGCTTGCCTGAGCAGCAAAATTGGGGAAAGGAGGGAATTCCTAACAATTCCCAGCTCAGAGGAGGTTTTAAACTCAGCCCCAACTCCACCCCTGGCCCTGGAAATCTGGCTTAGATCTGAAAGCCTGGAGATGTGGAAAGGGAGAGCAAAGATCTAAAGGAATGTTTCAGTGGGAGGCTGTTTGGGCAGAGGACGGTGGAGGAGGGAGAACCCGAGCCCGAAACCTGCGGAGGTTGGAGGTGTTGAACCTGCTCGCAGGAGCAACCTCAGAGCAGGGCAGATGAAAGCCCCGCAGACACGGCTTTGATCTCGTGGGGAGGAGAGATTCCCATCTCTTCCCTTAATGAGACGGCTCCGCTGGAGCTCCTCAGCCGGCTGGGATTCACCTCCAAAGGGACGTTTCTGCACCGGTGGGGAAGTTCCTCCCGGTTTCCACCTCGCCCGGTTTCCACCCCGCCCTCTCACCTTGTCGATGAAGGAGGCGAACTGGTTGTTCAGGGTCTTGATCTGCTCCTTCTCCTGGGTTTTCACATGCTGGATCTGGGGGTCGATCTCCACGTGGACGGGCCGGAGCAGGGTCGAGTCAATCTGCACCGGCTGGATGCCGGGGCCGGCTCTGCCCGGGCCACCAATGACAAAGCCTGGGCCACCAAAGCCTGGGCCACCAAAGCCTGGGCCACCATAGCCACCGCCGTAGCCGCCCACCCCAGCACCGAAGCCCCCTATTCCTCCGCCGCCTCCCATCCCTCCGAAGCCGCACACTCCTCCTCCTCCGCCGCCCATCCCGCCCCCGAAGCTGCCGAGCCCCCCGTAGCCGCCGCCGAAGCCGCCCATCCTGCCCCCGTAGCAGCCCCCCCCGGATATCCTGGCGCTGCTCCCCAGCCCGTGGAGGCTCCTGCTGCCGAAGCCGCCGCAGCGCCCGCCGGCCCCGAAGCCCCTGGACACGGAGTAGGAGCTGTAGCTGCTCCGGCTGCGCCCACCGCCCCCGAAGCCCCCGCCTATGGCAGAGCAGGAGCTGAAGCCCCTCCGGCTCCCCCCTCCGAAGCTCCTGCAGACGGACTGGCGAGACATCCTGGGTTCTCCTCAAAGAGAGCTGAACAAACTGGGAAAGGCTGAGCAGGTGGATGAGGCTGGAAGGAGAAGGGAAGTCGGTCCCTCTGGCTGGAGGGCAGCGGGAGCTCCTTTTATGTGCTCCCGGAGTGGGCTGGGTCTGCATGGGCGTGAGGAGGAGACAGCTCCTGTCTTCATCAGCGTGGCGTGGTCGCAGATTCCCATCTCCAATTTGCCAAACATTGACCCTACCCAGAAACACACCCTCCAACGCGGCAGAAAAGGCACAACAAAGGTCCGGCTGGGGCTCCCAATGCTCCGTGACCCGGGAATTCTGAGCCTTGAGGAGCAGCGGAGCCTCCCCGGGATACACCGGGAGCTTTTTTTCCCACCTTTCCTCCATCGTGGTTGTTCCCCTGCCCCTGTTTATCTTTCCATCTCTCACTCCAAAGCCCCGTGGCAAGACCTGCAGCCGATGCCAAGTCGCAGCCCGGGCTTTCACAATTCCCAAAACACACCTATGTTACACCCTCAGCCTCCTTTTCACTTGGAAAGTTGCCTTTGGCTCCGGGAATTGGGTTTCTCAACCTCCCAGCCAGGGCTCAGCAAATTGCATTTTGATGAGGCTCCGGGTCTCTTTCATTTTTTTTTTTGGGTAAATAAAACCTCCCCGGTGATGAGAGACGTTCCCGGTCGGACCCGAGCGCGTCCCGGAGCCTCCGTGCCAAGATCGTCTCAGCACCGGCTGGGAAATCCCTGCGGGATTCCCTGGAGGCTGCGGGGCCGTGGGGAGACTCCAGGCAGCGGCTGGGACGCGTGGACAGACAGAGGGACGGCTCTGGGAGGGGAGGAGGGATCCCAAAACCCACATCACACCCCCTGCAAGGGCTGAAGTGCAGTTAACGGGGCTGGTTTGTGGGGTTATGGAGATGAGCAGGGCCGAGGCCACGGGGGGGACACTTTCCTTGAGGAATCCCAACTCTTTGGGGCCTGTTTTGGTGTTTCTGTGAAAATACATCGATTTTAGAAAGGCAGGGGCTTGTTGGGATCCTCTGGTTCCGATCCCAGGCTGAGGGTGGGTTCAAACTGATCCATCAGAGGATCGTGGGATGGGTTGGCTTGGAAGGGACCTTCAAACTCACCTCATTCCAACCCCCTGCCACGGGCAGGGACAACTTTCCCTCAAGCAGGTCGCTCCAAACCCTGTCCAACCCGGCCTTGGACACTTCCAGGGAGGGGGAATCCACCACCCTTCAGAGAACCGGGAACGATTTGGGTGGGAAGGAACCTTTGTAAGTCATTTAATCCAAAGATCCATCCCTGATCCACCCTTTTGCCTCGGTTATCGAGTACCAAAGGGCCTCATTTTGCACTTTTTATTGAGAAAGTCCTTTTTTTCATTAAGAAACGCCATTTTTTGATGACTTTTCCGCGTTTTAAAGGCACGTTGAAGGCCAAAGCCACGGCTCTGGAGGCTCCTCGCCGTGCTGGCAGCCGTCTGGCTCTCGGGATTCCCACAGGACACCCGGAATCAGGAGCTTCTGGAAAATCCACACCGGCAACTTCTGGAACGGTCGGATGTTTAAACACCTCTAAAAATATCGCCCAGACACCCGTTCCCAAAAGCGCCTTCGGGACCCGGCCGTGCAGCTGAACCGGCGTTCCCACTGGAAAACACGACATTCCCGGCGCTCATCCCACCCCCAGCACCTCCGTGGATCCCTGGGGACCCGGGGAAGAGGGTTAGGGAGAAATAAGGCTAAAAAAAAAAAAGTCACGGAATCGTAGAATCGTTGAGGTTGGAAAAGACCTCCGAGATCATCCAGCCCAGCTTTTGACCCAAATAAAATAGATATCCTAAATAAAATATATACCAATATCAAAAAATTAAAATACATGTCAATAACACACGTCAATCAAATTTATCAGTGAAATTCATATCAATAAAATAAAATATGTCTCAAAAAGTCGCTGTGAGAGCGAAGGGACAGGGAGGACGTTGAGCCAAGATGATCAATGAATGGGCAATAAATCAATAAATAGGCAATACATCAATAAATAGGCCATAAATGAGGGGGTTAAGGCTCAGTCCCAGCGGGACCCGCCTCCCCCGGCGTTACCAAACCCGCGGTTACGTTTTCCTGGGAGATTTTGGTGGGGTTTTTTTTCCCCCTTCCCGTGGGCGGGATGACACGATCCCGAAGTTCTCTCCCCGAGTTCCCAGGGGAGAGGCCCCGAGTCAGCAAACGGAGCGGCCCCGGTTTGATAACACGGAGCGTTGAGTCACGGCCGCGGCCCCAGCCAAGTTTGGGAAATCCAGCTGGGAACTGGGGATCGGCAGCACCTCCCGGCTCCGGCGGGATGGGCAGAGCCGGGATGGTTTGGGCGGGAAGGGAGAGGGAAAGATCTCCCTGTTCCACGGCAGGGACACCTTCCACCGTCCCAGGTGAATCCAACCCGGCCTTGGACACTTCCAGGGATGGGGAGGCCACTGGGAAATCCATTCCAGGGCCTCCCACCCTCACAGACAGGAATTCCTTCCCAATATCCCACCTATCCCTGCCCTCTTGCAGCTGGAAGCCCCTCGCCCCTTGTCCCATCACTCCTTGTCCCAAAGTCCCCCTCCAGCTCTCTCAGAGCCCCCAGGGAAGGAAAATGACCTC